GCCATGGCCACCCTGCGCCGGGACGGCCGGCTCACCGCCCTGCAGCGCCTGGGCTGCGCCGGGCTGGCGGGCGCGCTGAGCCTCAGCCTGACGGCGCCGCTGGAGCTGCTGACGGTGCTGGCGCAGGTGGGCACCTGGCACTGCCGGCGGGGGCTGCGCGAAGCCGGGCGCAGCCTGTACCGCACCGAGGGCGTGCGGGCCCTCTGGAAGGGGAACCTCACGGCCTGCCTGCGCCTGTGCCCCTACAGCGCCCTGCAGCTCGCCGCCTCCCGCCGGTAAGCGACCGGCCCGCGCGGGGCTCGGGGGGCTGCGGGGAGCAGCGCTGCGCGCCGGCCTTGGTGGCTGTTCCGGAGCGAGGGGAGGGAAAGTGTCGAGTTTAGTCTAACGTCTCTGTCTCTGCCGGGTGGCCGGCTGGSTGTGCGCACCTTTTCCCCAAAGAAGCGGACCCTTGCTAATAATTTTATTTACTTAATGTATTCAGCGCTTAGCAGTTGTTAGGGACTGGTTATATGCCAGCAATTGCTTATAAATTCATAGGTGTTCTTAAGTTAAAATTCTTCTGTTCAGGTTCCTTTAGAAATGAAGTTACAGTGCAACCTGCAGATGTTGCTGTCACCGCTGTTCTTTACAACAAATTTATTTAATTAATTTATATGCTCTTAAGTATTTATGTTGTCTGTGTCAAAGAAAATAACAAAATCACGAGTCTTTTTTTTTTTTTTTACCCTATCATGTAGGAATTGTTAAGCAAATTTGATCAGTTTTGACATTGATATATTACAGTATTTGTTTTACGATCTTGTTTTCGATAATACACAGGTATTAAACTAAGGTGGGTGCTGGAAGGACTGCAGTAGGGTCAACACAGAGCGGTGCTGATGGAGCTCTGCCGATCTTGCTGTTTCCTAGGATTCCCTTCTGCTGCCAGTATCTCTCAGCTTCTGCCGGGAGTGCCTGACTGTTCGCACGCACCAGCATGTTTGGCCGCTCTGGGGGCTGGGCTTCATTCTTCTTTTTTTTTTTTTTTTTTTTTTTTTTTTTTTTTTTTTTTTTTTTTATTGCAGTCAGCTGTTCATGGTAGCACATGACATTTCCGCCCAGCTGGGCAGTGAGTTATTCTGTTCTGGGTAGCAGCAAGGGCTCACTGGCACTGCCAACCCGCTGGGTTTGTCACTCATCTGTCCCTGCAAGTCAGCTACCCTTTGCTGCCTGTGCCCTTCAAGGGACTAAAGTGAAGTGACCCTAAAACTGGGCAGCTYTGTTGTGCCATAATAGATGCAGTGGTCAAACAAAGAGTGCGATAATGTGAGTGGGAAGGCACAAACAGTAATTTAAATGTAATTTAAAGTTCACAGAAAAAACAGTGTGTTTCATCAGTAGAAACCAGTTGATATTGAGCAAAATAACTTCGTTGTTTGTTCAGCTTGAAACAGTGTATTCCTTTTGCAYGGTTACAGTTTGTATCTAGTTTGCACTGGGTGTTCTGAATTACTGGTGGAAGTAGGCTACCAGGAAATTAAATGCAAAGTGCCTGTACTTAGTCCTTGATACCCTATTCGGACGTTTTTGAATGTCTTTCCTAGTGGGAGAATGGCAAGAAACACAAAAAGAGAAATGTTTGTAGGGCAGCTTAGGTGAACAGTCCCAGGAGGAGCAGGACTGAGCAGTCAGCACCCCAGGGATGGTGACTCCGTGCTCCCCCAGCAATTACTCTGCATGGACTCGTCTTTTCATGGTAATTTTAAGTGTTATCAGGGTAGTACCTAGAGACATCCCACCACCCTCCCCAGACATTTGTGCACACACAGGAAAATCAGGCTGTGTGGGTTTGGGGGCTGTATAAGASACACAGGAAAAAATGTTTGTGCTCTTTCACTTCTGCTTGGCTGGGCTTTCTGCCCTGGGCACTCCCAAGGCTCGAGACAAGTAGRTGCAGGGATCTGTCATGCAGTAGAAAATGCACACTCATATGAAAAAAACATCAGCTGAACGAGCAGTGACTTGTAAATATTTGGAAATTATTTTGTTCTGCACATGGTTACACCATGAGGGTTAAATGTAGATGTGCTGTTTAAGTGTTTTAGTTAATGCTTCCAAAATAGAATAATACCTTTTTTTACTTCCAGCAAAAATTCTCAAGTGTTTTTTCTTGCTTCTTGCTGCCTCTCCAGGACATTTCTCCTTGATGCAGAAGTTTCCTGTCATAGAAAAGTCCTTCAGTGCACCACAAATGCATGAGTTGTGTGTAGCTTATAAAAATGTGCTTTAAATTCAAATTTTCAAATTTAGACTTAACCTCCTGAGCATAATAGTGCCTGGACAGAATTCTTCTCTAGAGGTGTGTCCCTGTGGAGCTTCCTGTCTCTGTAACAGAGGAAGGTTCAGTTGCTCTCAGAAGGCCTGTGATGGCATTATCTGCATATTTCCTCTTACTTTAACTGATAACTTTAACTGATAATGAYAACTTTAACTGGCAGGTTGGACCAATATCTTTATCTGATGATCAGATAATTTCTTGCAGATGTGTTTTGAGTCATGGTAATTTTCATCCTGTAGATGGATGCTTGTGTGGTGTTGTGTATAAGATCTTGGATGAATCACATGTTAAAGTTTCAATTCCTGCTACTGAAGGGGCTTGTGGACAGAAGAACATTTGCATTAAGAATTATCTGCTTTAATTTTTCATGTGTTTTTTTCATAATGTCATTAATAGTACTTCTTTKATGTGTTTGCTTTAGGCTTGTTATCCTTTTTACGGACGAGCTGGGCCGTATCTCGCACTGGAGAGCCATCATGGTGGGMAGTCTGTCTGGCATGGTGGCCACCATCGTGACCTACCCCACAGATGTGATTAAAACACGGCTCATCGTGCAGAACCGCCTGGAACCATCTTACGAAGGGATTCTTCATGCTTTTTACAAGATTTATCATCAAGAAGGATTCCGTGCACTCTACCGTGGTGTTTCACCAGCAATATTAGGTAAAGCAATAATGGGGAGAAATCCCCTCACTGCTTGTTTTTTGTTGCAGCTTTATAGTGAAATCAAGTGAGCTGCATTCCCTTGTTCACTTGATTTAAAAAGCAAATAGAAATGTTTTATTGTAGATGGGAGATTTGCAAGGCACTGCAATACTGATAACCTCTGCTGAAGCTTTATTGCTTCAAATTAGGACCAAGTGTGTATCATTTTATAGATTATTAAGTGTTCAGCAAAATAGTCTTTCCCTTCTTGCCCCTATTGGCACATCTAGATACTACAATATGGCTGTTTGGTGGTAAACCAGGGAGTAAAGAGCAAAGTTCTTCAAAATCTGGATTGGGTTTGTGTAATGTGAGGTGTAAATTGGCAGTGGCTCCTCCCATCTTTCTAATTATGGATTAGATAATGAGATGAGCAGCTCTGTTCTCCTAGTGTACAGTGTATTGATATAATCCTGCCTGGTTTGCTTTCTAGGTGCTGTCCCATTCTCTGCAGGCTCATTCTCTGTTTACATCAGTCTGGATAAAATCTGGCGAGAACCCATAGTTCATTTCACTCCTCTTCAGAACTTCATAAATGGCTGTGTAGCAGCTGCTGTGGCACAGACACTTTCTTTCCCCTTTGAGACTGTCAAGAGGAAGATGCAGGTACAGAAACTTCATGTTACCCATACTTTGTTGTAGGTTCTTGGTGCCAGATCTTGGGACAAGACTAGCCAGGTGATCATGGGCGCCACTTTATTTCTGTTACCAGTAGGCTGCAGAGACTTTGGGTTTGGTTTTGTTGGGTCCTTTGCTTCTTTGCAGATTTTTGTTTGTTTTGTTTTGTTTTGTCTTAAAAGTCTGGAAATGATTGCTACAAGTGGGTTATTTTAYCTTTAACATGAGTTCAAGTACTGTCATGGGACATGTGTATGCTCTCAGACTCGGTGTCTGTAGCTTTACTTATTTTCTTTTTCGTAGCAGTTCAATCAAATTTTCAAAGTTCAGAATTGCCAATCCTTCAGTGAAACATAGGCCGAAAGTTTGCCAGCTGAAGAGATTCGGTCCCCTTGATGTTAGGCAGGATGAATGAGATCCWTGTCATTTTCAGAGCCTGTGTGTCTGCCTCACCACGAAACAGTCACTTTTTGTGGCAGCATTATAGAGGTCCTTGCCCTCTTCATCTGATGGTAGCATGGTTGGCAAGTCACAAGGTAGCAAAAGGTAGAAACTGTGAATTTCCCTCTCCTGCTCCCCAAGTTCCCCTTTTCAGKGCTCAGATACTGAGTCACAGAAGCCTTCGCTGCCCTCTCTCCATCTTGCAGAGAACCTCAGCAGGAGAAGTAATGGCTTTTATCAGACCAGCTCATGTAGCAGATGTATCCAGAAGTCAAGGTTTAAGCTGAGTCCTTTCATCAGGTATCTTATAAAAAAWTTCAGGCAAGAAAGAGATTCTGAGCACAAAAACTTGGTCATTTTATCCAGCTGTACCAGTGGGTCTAAGAAAAGCAAATACTCCTTACAAGCCTTCTTTTACTTTATAGCCTTAGGCTCACAGCAATAGTATTGCCCTAAAGAATAAAATAAAATAAAGGCATTTACTCTGCTGTTTCCCATTTAATATTTTCTGTCTATGCAACAATTATTTGAATATTCAGCTTTTGTAATCAGTTCTAAAGCAGGTTTTGGCTGTAACTGATGTGATGTTTTGTGTCAGGCATGTGAARAAGAGGCACAGGCCCATGTTTCATTTTCCTGCCACCAGGCTGTGCTCTTCCACCGAAGGGGTCAGCTTAAATCATCTGCTCGCTCTTCCAACAATAAGGGAACTGGGTTTATTGCCTAAATGTGTAGGAAGTGGAGAGGCTAAAAATACTTTGCATGGAAACAAAAGGCTCATCAACAAAGAGGGCTTCTTCCTCATAAGTGCATTGCAGCACTGAATAGTGATTTTCTGAGCTTAGACGAACACCTCCTGCTCAGTGATTTATTCTGAAGGTATGGGAGAAGGCAAAGGTATTTCAGAATGAGCTGCCTGGGTRTGAAATCCTGTAATTTGTTGGGTACTGGAATGACTTAAGCCATGGAGAGTTGTCCAGAAAAGAGATGTGTCAAAATCACACCGCAGCTGATACCAAGAGCTCACTGCAACTCATGCAAGGTTATCCTAGAAGTTTGGGTTTTCCAGTTAGCACCAGGGTATGGCCCAGCTTTGCAGGGATCAGGTCTGCTTTGTACTTGCTGGTCAGTTCATTTYGTGGGGTGCTGGTCAGAAGAGAGAAATGCCTAGTACAGCATCAGGGATGGACCTAGAAAGGGGGAGAATGAAGAAGAGGGAAAAGAGCTTCAAGACATTTCTGAGTTCTGTAGAAAACAGGGGAGCAAATACTTCTGACCGCATTTTTTCTCAGACATCTTACTCTGAGCAGCCTCTATTCAGTGATTCACATTTCTAACTGATAGAAAGCGAAGTACCAAAGCCTTCAGCTACCCCTGTGCTCTGCAGTGCACATAGGGAAGTGCTGGGGTTTTTTGAAGCAGTGAGTGCTGGGTTTGTGTATGAAGAGGAACCCAGCAGACTGTGGAGGTCAGAATCAGATTCCTCTTCCCTCTTTTGTGTCCCATCAAACTGACTGGTGGAGGGAGTATATTGCTAAAGAAGACAACAGCTTTTCCAGTGAAGCTGGTGGTGATGGGGAACCAGGGAGTTGTGAGGCAGTCTCAGGAGCTTCAAAAACTGAGAAGTTAGGACACAAGGCTGTCTCCATTGATTCTGGGGTAGAGTACAAGCATGAGACAAGGACATCCAGTTCAGATCTTTACCTGATATGCTAGGCAGTCTTGGAAGAGTTAGCTCAATTCATCTCCTCATCTGGACAATGCTTGAATTGTTTGCATAGACTGGGAAATGGATTCTGCTATGGGGAGGAAGGATAAGGTGCTATTTTTATCTCCATTGTAATAATCTTGTTTCATCCTTTCTCACTTTACATATCTGAATCCTACACTTCTGACGTTGGCTGCTTCTGTCACTGACAGCTGTGGGAGTAGGAGCTGACTGTCAGAGAACAATTCTTCCTCTGTTTTGGTGATGCTTTATGATGTCAGATTTGCTCAGTAACCATGGCTTCTTCCCCATTTCCTGTTAGAATTAGCTTTTTCAAGTTTACTTTTTAAAAAAATTGCTGTGTTTGCTATATATACTTGAATGTTTTTCTTGAAAGAAGTGTTATTTAATGAGTGAGTCTTACTGAATTGCTGAGTCCTCTGTGTTGTGCTTATCCTAATTTTATTCCTTTGTCTTCCTTTTTTCACTTTGCTCCTGATTGGCATGTTAGAGAATTCAGAGGTACTGTATGCATGTTTCAGCATGGAAATATGGCTTTTGTTGTGCATCTGTAGAAGGGGATTTGTGAAGGAGAGGGTTATTCAAAGGCATGTTCTATATTAAGTGTTTTCCTGACTTACTTTTATGATGTATCAGTTTTTGAACAAAAAGTTACTCATCTTTTTTTCCTTTTGACTATTATTCTTGGCTTTCCTTCCTCACTTCACAATATCATGTTCTTTGTTAAATCCAGTTTCTAAGCCATATTCAAGTACTGCCCTTTTTACCTTCAGACTTGGCATACACTTTTTTTCTTTTTCTTTTTTTTTCCACCTTCAGCAGGGAAATCTTCCTTTGAATGACTCTGTGTCTAAGGGAAGCACTGGTAATATGTTTCTACTTTCTCACACCATCTTTTTGCCTATGATAACCTTCATAAATGCCTATTGGACTGAGCTGTGGCATTTCAGTAAGGGAAGATGAATTGAGAGCTGTTACAGGCTGTACAGAAGATTATTATTAGAATGGCATCCATCCCAGGCTATGTACGGAACTGAAAACATACAAACACGCAAATGGTCAATGCAAACCCAACACCAGGTTTGGCACTTCCCTCTGTGCTCATGACGTGCAGAGCTGGACTCAGACACCCCTGAATGGCACTTCTCAGCCTCCATCCCAGACTTACCTGTGACTTTGGTATTTTTTTAGGCCCCATGCACAAAGATGTCCTTAAAGCTTCATTGRTACTCCACAGTTACTCCTCACCTGCTTACATGAGCAAATTGTGTGGTTTTCAGAAGCTCAGTCCTGTCCCCATATTTTAATATCCGTGACTAAAACGTGTCTTAAACTCTCCTTCACCAATAAGTGCTACTCAGATATAGCTTTGCCATCAAACCCTTGTAATATAGAATGAATCATATTGATGGTAAAGTGCAGGACTCAGCACATTTTTGGTGTTGACTGCAATGCATCCTCAAGCTGTGAGGGCATCTCTGTGGGAAAGCATTGTTCAGTGCTGATCTTTCTGTTTCAAATGTGGGCTTTGACTTCACTCCTGCAAACAAACAGGCTCACTGTTGTTGATTAGTGTAGATAGTTGCCAGTATCACCCAAGAAGTGGCCTCTTTTCTGTGACAAAAATGAATCAGTTTGGCCTCATCTGCCTATAAATCTGTAATGTGTTTTGGTTTTTTAATTGGATTTTTTTGTTCTTTGGAGCACAAGATACTCTTCAAATGTGAAATCTGTTGTAAGTTATGTGAATGCTGGGAGTTAGTAACTTGGAGAAAACTAAGCAGCCATTTCCTTTGTGAGGTAGCCTGTTTAAAGTAGAAGTCTCTCTTTTAAAAGAAATACTGTTAGTTAAGTAAATATTTAAAAACAGTTCCCTTGCATGGTAAAAGTCAGTCTAGCAAGAACCCAGTGGCTGGTTTATAAAAAGAGTTTTGAAAAAGAGAATGATAAATGTTCCTTCTCTGTGCTGAGATGAGGAGCCAGTGAACTGCTTTGCTTAAGCACGAGTGACTTGCARAAGAGTGCTCTGTCATTGGGGAGGGTCACTGGGCTGGCGTGCAGCCTCTGGGAGCTCACAAGCTGTAGTGTCACTGCTGGTGGTGAGATCTGTGTTCTTGTCAGCTGGGAAAATGAAAGTTATTGGAGTCRTGACCTGGTTTAAAAATAAGAAATCMTTTTTGGGTTATGTGGTTCACATGACATCTCAAAAGCATACATGCTCTGAGACTTTGTGCAGGGAGACCCTTTTAKAGTGAACAGCATGGAAGCCTTGAAAATTTTCAGAAATGGAGTCATTTGACCACACAAATTTCATAGTATGRGATAAGCCTTCCTGTCTAAGGCTTATATGGTTGCTAGTTGTCTGTTCTTGTCCTTGCCCCTAATATCTTTTGATTCTACTGTCCAGCTTCAAGTAAACTTGACTGAAGAGTGGATATTTCAGAGTTACTAACTTCCATCGAGTGTAGTGAAAACAAGTGCACAGATAGGTGAAATACTGTAGARTCTCATCTTTAAGGGGGAGGCTGCAGTGTGAGTTCTTACTTTTCTTATTTCTCCCTATGATCATACACTCCCTTTCTTCTTGCTGCTGGGATTCAAGCATTAGCCAGGTCCCCATGCCCTGGGTGGTACTTGAATTTGAGACTAGCATGGCTCCTCTAATTATTAGCAAATAGGTAATAGATGTCAGATTCTGGTTGTGGTAAAATCCCTTCCTTCCTTCTCTTTTTTACTATATCTGAATACTTAGAGCTGCCAGTGATTTTTTTTTTTTTTTTGTTTCGTTGATGTTGTTATAAAGGTATTCTACCTCTTT